CGGTGAAAAGCACAGATCTACTAGGCGGACAGAAAAGTGAGGAAAAAGAAACAGACATACCGCGGACCGAGAGATGGAAGGATTGAGAAGCGTAGGGCGTAGACGTATGCGGTGCGGTAGGAGAAGAATCTCTGTAACATAGAAAATGCAGAGAAGATTGATTGGAGCAGTGTGCGTGAGCTTTAATGGCGAACGAAGAAAGCTTTAACAGTTATGACAACGGAGAAGAAATAGAACGAAGAAGAGACGAAAAAACGTATGAGAATCATAATAACAAAACCATAGAATTTAATTAATTATTATTATTATTATTTTAATTTTTAATTAGTCGCTATTCTTTGATCGTATTGTACAACGGAGACGGAGAGGATGTCCACCAAATGAATTTGGAATAATATATATTTTTTTTTAAATAATTAAAATAAATAAATAAATATTTAAAAATTAAAATGTAATAATAAGACGGTCGAGGTAACAGAGAGGCGTTTCCCACGACTTTATCATATTTATGTCGTCATCCGAGTAATCTTTTTTTCTTATTATTTTAATAATTCCATTTTCTTCTATGGTTTTCTTTAATTAATTAAAGTATTATTAATTTGATTAAATATTTTTAGATTTAAATTCCCACTCATATATTTATTAAATTAAAAGTATTTATTTAATTATAATTCTACTATTTAGGCTTATGCTTCAAATTTTCATGAGATTGAAAACGTTGTGCTAGTCAAGCGCCGTTGGTTGACCTTTTAAGAGACATGTTGTAATGTTTACGGTCGATAATCAATTTGATGTTCAATCCTTTTAGAGATGGAGATCAAACATGTTAAAATCTTGTAATGCCCCAGATCCACCACTAGTAGATATTGTCCTCTTTGCGCTTTCCCTCCAGACCAGACACGTTAAAATCTTGTAACGCCCCTGATCCACCACTAGCCGATATTATCATTGTTAAGGATATTTAGTAATAAATTATAGTTTACCATATATATTATATTTGATATTTTATTATAAGGCAAATATCTAACATTTGCGTTATTACTATAGTATCTTTCCATTTATTGTTATTTCCATTTATTACTATTTCCATATCCTTGTAATTTATTTGATTATAAATAAGATAACTTTCACACCATTTAGGTGTGATGGATTCAGCAAACATTCACAATCATCTTTGCGCTTTTCCTTTTAGGCTTTCCCTCAAGACTCGACACGTTAAAAGCCGTCTGCTAGAGGAAGGTTTTCACACCCTTATATGGTGTTTTGTTCTCCTCCCAACCAATGTGAGACTCACAATCCATCCCCCTTTGGGCCCAATGTCCTTACTGGCACACCACCTCGAGTCTACCCCCCCCCCCCCGAGAATAGCGAGAAGGCGGGCAC